GCAGCAGCAGCAGCAGCTCACCTTAACAGCCGTAGCAGGCGGCACTCTGCTGCTGGCTAGCTAGCTAGCTGAGATTCTTCGCTAGCTAGCTAGCTAGCTAGCTAGCTAGCTGTGTATCCTGGCTGGTTGCATCTCTAGCTAGCTGGGGCCGCGGTGACTCTGATGGCTAGCTGTGTGGTTCTTAATGTGTAGCTAGCTGCTGCTGCTGGTGCGCAGCTGCCGTAGCTAGCTGCGGAGGCTGTGGCTAGCTGTGCAGTTTATATATAAACAGCTAGCTAGTGCTAGTTACTAGCGGTATAGCTAGCTATGCAGCTAGCTACAGCGAGCCACAGCTAGCTATGCAGCTAGCTATGCAGCTAGCTATGCAGCTAGCTACAGCTAGCTACAGCTAGCTGTGCAGTAGCTGTATAAGAGCTAGCTATAGCTAGCTGTAGCTAGCTGTAGCTAGCTGCAGCTAGCTGTAGCTAGCTGTAGCTAGCCATAGCTAGCTGTGGCTAGCTGTAGCTAGCTGTAGCTAGCTGCTGGTGCTGAGGCTAAACAACTCAAATTCTAAATCGTTATCGGGGGCCGAAGCAAAGAAGTCAGGGGTATATAGAAGCGCTGCAGCAGCAGCAGCAAATGCTGCTGCTGCTGCTGCTGCTGCTGCTGCAGCGGCAGCAGCAGCAGCAGGCGCCAGCAGCAAAGCCCAGCTGCAGCACACTAAATCACAGTACCCAAAGGGCCCCAGGGGGCCCCGGGGCCCCCCTGGGTGTACACTGCAGCTGAATATAAAATAAAATATTTTGTCTGCGGCTCTTCTCTCTCTCACCTGCTGCTGCTGCTGCTGCTGCTGCTGCTACTGCTGCTGTTGCTGCTGCCATTGTTGCTGCTGCAATTGCTGCTGTTGCTGCTGCGTCTAATGCTGCTGCGGACGTTGTGTTCCCTCTGGTGACCGTTGCTGCAGTTGCTGCTGCTACGGCTGCTGCTGCTGCTGCTGTTGCTGCTGCTGCTGCACTTGTAGCGT